CAACCAGATGGGGAAGATGATGATGACTTGTATATCGATCAAGATATCAATTAAAAGGAGGTTAGCCAAACCTATCTCAAAGGCATAAAAGAGAGAGCGTTCCATGGGAAACAACCCACATCTGGCGCCAAACTTAATAACGTTAAACAAAAGTGCTGCCACGGAGACCACCCAAATTTCTCTTTCTTAGTTAATTTTGAAATTTCAAGTTTGTTTTTAGCCTGTGATTTTGAGTTACTCATTGGAGGAATTTATTGTATCCCTTTGGATATGTGTTAGATTTGGAGAAAAATCCTAAAATTATGATGAGAAGAAGAATTTTGATGTAGTGGAATTGTACGTAAAACCAACTTTTGTATTGCCAAGGCAACGGTTCTCTAATCAGAAAATGCTAGAAACCTATGTGAACACAAACGGAAGGCATGCAACAGCCACAACCATCACTCTACCACCGCAAACCCTAAGCCCACAGAAGGGGAAAAATCAACCTTCCCCCTTCCATACCTTTCATTTCCACATCCCTTCCTTCTCTCGTCATCCAAATCCTCTCCCTTCTCTCTTCACTTTCAAATTTTCTCCCAACTTCTTCAACTTTCAATCGTCAAATGCACATCCAAAACTCAAATTTGATCCTCAGTTTTGAGATATTACCTACCTATCACCATATAAACAAAGCCCAATCAAAGAAGATTTAAAAAACTCAACGGAGCACCGCCGTTGGCCACACCCACCATGTCGCCGCCACGACTCTTTCTCTTGGATTTTCAAAATTTTCTTTGAATTTTATGCACTTTTCTTCAATCCAAGTAAGTTCATGATCTTTAGATGAATTTAGGAGCTTGAATCATGAATTTAGAGCTTCAATTGAGGATTTAAAGTTTAGAATTGCTTGATTAAATGTAAGACTTTTCTCTTGCAATTTTTTTTTACCACTGTTAGGCACAATTGATGCTTGTGAATGATTGATGATAGTTATATACTTAGGAATAAGAATTATGGGTGCTTATGATGATTTTAGCAAAGGTCATGCCAAAAAAATTCAAAATATATCATAAGCATCTTTCAATGTCAAGCTATGTTAGGTTTTGAATTTTATAAGAATTATGGGTGCTTATGATGATTGTCTAGGATTCCCTGGGGTAGCTATTATTGAGAATCTCCTGTAGTCTGACATTCCAGTGACTGTGTTTGTAGATTAGTGATTATGTTATAACGTATGTACTGGGTGGCATATGAATTCAGTTGCTCTTGCTATGCCTGCCTACTTTATTTGAAAACACCACATCGCCAAGTCTTGATATAGTCCTTAAGGTGTGTGCTATTAGAATCAAGAACTATGGTTAGTTATTTGTATGGCTGAGATTGACGCGGGGTGGGGAGGGGCATTTTTGTCCAATTTTTGAAATTTTATTTATTTTTTATTATTTTTTCCAGCATTTATATGCCGACTTTTAATTGAGGAAAGAGAAAACCAGATTTCTCTCTTCCTCTCTCTTTTTCTCTCTTCCTTCTCTCTTCCAAACACATTTTCCACATCTAGATCTTTTCCCTTCTCTTGTTTTTCATTTTTTTTCTCCAATCAACAAAGAAAAAAATTGCAGCCTCCCCTCTCAAATTCGGTGATGCTCCAAATCCTTCTTCTCTCGATCTGCTCCTTCCTTCTGTTCTTTCTTTTCTCGGCCTCAAAATAGATGACGCTTCATATTGACCAAGAGGGGATAGATTTAGGTGAGTCGAGTTTGCATGTTTTATGTTTTAGTATTTTTTTTGTGAATTTTCAATTCCGATCTTCCTCTATTTTTTTTTTTTTTTTTTTGCATTTGGTGTTCTTGATTATGGAAGAGGAAATGAGAAGAGACAGAAGGCGAGTTTTTTTTTTCTCTCACTCATTCTGTTTTTCTTCCTTCTTTTAGGTAATATATATTGATATTACCACACTATACCATATGGTAATGTGTGCTAATTAAATGTTTAGTGGGTGGTAATCGACAACAGTTCCGAGAAAGAGTAGTTAAAAGATAATGAAGTGAGAGAAGAAAGTGAAGAGAGTCGTAATTATATATATATATTGAGATTACCACACTATACCATATGGTAATGTGTATATACCATATGATAATTTGTTTATACCATATGGTAAAGTGTGGTAACGAAATGTATTTTTATGATATAATGTTTTTCTATGGTCGTAGATGGTTGTAATTAGATTTGTATTATTTTCGTATGGTTTTACCTTCTCATACCATGTGGTATTGTATGGTAATTACAATTAATTTGTGTTCATTCGATTAACCATGTTCTACTATGGTGGTATTGAATGATAGTTATATTTATAATTTTCTGTAACGTGTTTTACCATGTTATACCATGTGGTGGTAGTTGGATTTATAATTTTATTTAAGCATGTTATACCATATGGTATGGTATGGTAATTAGATTTGTAAATTTCCGTAGCATGTTTTGCCACGTTATACCATGTGGTATTGTATGGTAGTTAAATTTGTAATTTTCTTCAACATATTTTACCATGTTTTACCACATTATACAATGTGGTATTGTATCATAGTTAGATTTGTAATTTTCTTCAACATATTTATCATGTTTTACCATGATAGTAGAAAGTGATAATCATATTTATACTTGTAATTACTGTCTTTAGCTCTGAATTATTTAACGAAAAAATCATCATTCAATTTGAGTTGGAATTATAACAGAGATAGTTAGGATGGTTAGATTCATTTTTGTTGTAGATGGGAGAGAGAAGAAATAATGTATTTTTTCTTTTAATAGTAAAACAAAGGGTGAGAGAGAGGGGAGCCAGTGTGGGGTAGGGGAGTGAGATCCGCGTCTGGTAAAAAAATCAGCTCATAACGTCAGCATTAAAAGGGGTTACAGTTTACCTTAGTGTCCCTCCGTGTTTAATTTAAATAAAAGGCAAAGGCTGGCACGTGAGGACAGATGATTGAATTACTGACCGTTACTCATAGTAGAGTTACCAAATCCGGTCCCCACTTTTGGGGAGCAGATCCGGTGAGTAACCCCATGCATAACCCAATAAGAATCTGCCACATCAGCGCCTCATTCTCTCTTCTGGAAAAATCATTAATTTTCTTTCCCTTAATCTTTAACGGACGATTTCTCAATCGTTTTAACTCGGAATTTAATTTTTTTGCACAGTTAGATCAGATTAATTGTGATCTTCAAAATGATACCTACTTTGATATTTTTTGGAACAAAAAAAATTTGTCAGTTATTACTATTTAATACCATATGGTATTGACTGGTATTAAATAACAGCATACCATATGGTATGAAAAATACCAGTCAATACCATATGTTGTTATTTAATACCAGTCAATACCATATGGTATTAAATAATAGCATACCATATGGTATTAAATAACAGCATACCATATGGTATGAAAAATACCACCTCATACCAGGGTGGCATAGTCTGGTATCGAGTTGGTAACGAGAGGTTTGAAATTTTTTTCCCCATAAAATTTTGAAATCCAATAGATCATGAATAAATCGTTACTTTTGTGCAAAAATTTCCGAAAATGAGTAAACAACGAAGGAGATACCATATGGTATGGAGTTGGTAACAAGAGGGATGAAAAAAATTTCTCAAAAAATATTGAAAATGAATATCATTTTGTAGAGCACAACGAACTCGTTTCATCTGTGCAAAAAAAAAATTGAAATCCGAGTTAGAATGAAGAAGATATGATCCAATTAAGAAAGCTAGAGAAAAGAAATTTTTCTAATTCTCCACCCTTAGATCTGTAGTCATTTAAAAAAAGGTCCAAATTTGATTACTCATTTGCTCACACTAAAAGTACTCACCGAGCCTCACTTTTGGGCAATGAGGATAAATGACACAAATATTGTTATTTTTTTTAATTTACCACCAATATGGCGGATTAAAAACTATTGACACAAATATTGTGTTTTTAGTAAAGTTTGGGGCGGGACCACCAGAGACTCAGGCGGGGCCGCTGTTTTACACAGTTCTGGGCGCTGGCGCCCAAGTCTCCAGCGCCGCCGCCTCAGCCTCATTTTTTTTAAATGCCGCCTCGGGCCCCTCCCACCTTATCTTCTTCTTCCCTCCTCCACACACCTTATCTCCTCCTCTTCTTCTTCCCTCCTCCACACACCACACAACACACACCCACCCACCCACCCCCCCCCCCCCCCAACCCCCTGAACCAGAGAAGCCAGCAGAGCAGCCGCCGTCGTAGAGTCAGGCGCCGCCGCTGGAGAGTGGAGCGCCGCCGCCGCCGCGAGGAGCGCCATCGCTGGAGTGTGAAGCGTCGTCGCTGCTTGGTGAAGCGCCGCCGCTGCCGGGTGAAGCGCCGCTGCTGCCGACAGAAGCGTCATCGCCTGAGATGTCCTCCGACGAAGAAGAAGTCGCCGCCGGCAGAGGCAGGGGGAGAGGCCGGCGAGGTCGTGGCGGTCGTTTGCGCGGTGAGACTCTCCTCGGCGGCTTGAATTTATTTTATAATGTTTTGTGTTTTTTTTATAATGTTTTGTTGCTTTGTTTTTGCAGTTCCTAGGCTTATGGATCCTTATTCGATGAGATTACCGCCGGCGACAATTGATCCAGGTCCGGTCAATCCGACACTTCTTTGGGGACATGGCCAACATCGTATCGACTCTGTTTGGACAAACGAGGTAAGTATTTGATAATTATTCATGTAAAGTTAATTAGCTAATTAGATTATTTTAGTTGGTGAACTGAACTGTACTGTTAGAGAATAGGATTACGTATCAAATTTTTTGAAATTAGTATAATTTGATATTAGATTAGACAGATTAGAATTTATTAGGTGAAATTAGAATTATTACGAATGAAGATGAATTAATAAAAGTTTTGTGCACTATAGGCTGGTGATCGATCTTACCATGTTCGAGGTACGACCATTTTAGTACCTTACCATGAGCTTTATCGGCCATATCTCGAAGCGGCAGGCTTGTTAAGTGTCGTGCCCCTAGTCCCTATGAACCCCGATGCGAGTTTGATTACTGCGCTCGTAGAGCGGTGGCGACCCGAGACGTCGACCTTCCATCTACCGTGTGGTGAGATCACGATCACGTTAGAGGACGTTGTTACACTGTCCGGTCTGGCGATCGACGATGATGCCGTCGTAGTTGATATACCGGATGAGGAGTGGTCCGCGATCTGTTTGAGACTGTTAGGACGGGTTTCGGTTGATCTTGTAGGCGGTGTCGATGTTGTTAGGATTGTTTGGCTGAGGGTTGAATTTAGTCATCTGCCGGAAAATGCATCACACGAGGTTATAGAGCAGTTTGCACGAGCTTATGCTCTATCTCTGATTGGAGGTGTACTTTTCCCGGATCGGTCTGGATCTACGGTGCACCTACAGTACCTACTTCTGATTGAGGATTGGCAGAGAGCTGGACGGTTCGCCTGGGGAGCTGCTGTTTTATCCTACCTGTACCGTGAGATGGGTAGGTCGACTTTGCACATTATGCATACTGGCACTTCTCTAAGCGGTGACCTTGGTGGATGGATCGCCCTACTGCAGTTCTGGGCGTGGGAGCGATTCCCACATCTGGCACCTCGAGATTCAGAGACCGCGTGCTCCGGCAGTTTGGCATGAGGCAGCATGAGCCTCATCCGCCACATCCTGAGGCTGAGGTTAGGTTTTTTCTGCGCCAGGCTACTCGTAGGCCATCGCGTGGGCAGCAGTTGGTACACGCCTCCAGAGAGTCGCTTGCTTTATTGAACCGTCGACACGAGTTTGTAGCGATATCTCCATACACTGATGAGGAGTTAGCCTACCACTCGGAGCATATGGAGTGGTATAGAGATGTCACCAGACGTTCTGGCACACGGAGAGGAGCTGTAGCAGAGGCATTGGTTAGTTATTTGATTTGTTTGCTTAATTTGTTGTTAACTGTGTGAAATATCTGACATTTTGTTGGTGTTTTTTAGTACGACACTATCGAGCATGCTGAGGTGAGTTTGTGTGACGGTGTACGGGCTGGAGCGCTGACCCCCGACCAGTGTGAGGACTTGGCCAACCTTATGGCATTCGGGGTTGCTACTCTAGGGTTTGAGCAGCGTAGATACCCTGATCTCACAGTACCTGTACAGCCCCATTATGAGGAGCATGTCATGACTGCCTGGCCAGAGCGTACTGATCTGACACCGGGCTGGGTCGTCCCAGAGCCACAGTTCAGACAGGAGCATAGGCCACGTAGGCAGCGACATGAGCATCGTGATGTACCTAACCCATTACGGGTTCAGAGCGACAGCAAGCACAGCCCATCCGGCCTACATCGAGGAGCTTATAGTTTAATCCGCTTCAGTCGCAGTTTCAGTCAGATCCTTCCTCGAGCTTTCAGCCGCCGCGACGGCAGCAGTTTCAGTCAGATCCTTCCTTGAGCTTTCAACCGCCGCGACGGCAGCATTTTCAGTCAAGTCCGTCTTCGAGCTTCTATCAGCCAGAGGATAGCTTCCATACACCGCAACATACTATGGGAGGCGGAAACATGGCTTCAGGTGGTGATACTAGAGCAGCCTCGACTCCCAACCTGTGGGACAGCCTAGAGGGTGATCCAATTTTTCAGGAGACGATGTGGAATTATGAGCAGCATCTTCAGTCTCAGCAGCATGGTGGCGGTGAGCCTGAGGAGCAGATTCAGTCTCAGCAGGATGATATGTTTGGTACACAGGATCAGGATGGTGGTGTCGAGGAAGATCAGCCCCAGGAGTATGATGGTCGACCTCTGCGTAACAGGGTGCCTGCGAGGTGTGGTACTGGAGGCCATCTAGTGGTGGAGCATGGTGGTCGTCGTGGTGGTTGTCGTGGTGGTCGTCAGTGAGACTATTATGTAGTTTGCTTATTTTTCGATTGTTATTATGTACTTCCTTGAGACTATTATGTTTGGACTATTTTTTATCTTCTTATTTTATTAACGATAAAAACCATAACAACTACATACCAAACTACAACAACTTCTACATGGTAAATCGAAATAAATACAACAACTACATACCAAAATACAACAACTTCAAACAACAACTTCTACATGGTAAATCGAAATAAATACAACAACTTCTACAAACTTCTCAGCCACGTCTATTACCTCTACTTCCTCTTCTACCACCTCTCGCACTTGGTTGGCCACCACTCCCTCTTCGGTTGCTCCCACTCCCACTGGCTTGGCCACCGCATGTTGATGCATTATGTCCCGCTTGGTTACAGTTGCTACACACTTGGTGTGATGCACCCTCCCTTGGCCAATCCATCTCGTTATGAATCCTTGTAACTTGTGGCCTCCCCGGCTTCCTAATCATGTGCACATTAGGATGGAGAGTAGGACCATTATGCTTCTTCCAACCCTTAGGTTCACCTAGAGGTGCGAAACTTGTCCCATAACAAGCCAGCACTGTTTCCAGCTTGTAGACATCGTTTACAAACCTATACGCATTAGCCCCCCATTCGGTTGCAAGCTGCAATGGCATGAGAGCAAGGAATTTTATTTCCTTGAAATTTACCACAGGTGCAAAATCCCTCCCGGTTTTGTTCGTCAAAGTGCACTGTGAGTGTGTTTGACCCCGTCATGTTAAAATTGTTGGGGGGAGTCTGAACTACATAGATGCCTTGACCCCGATCAAGAGCTGTAACAGAATGTCCAACTGCCTTTTGTGACCAGTATTTCATCAGCTCTTCGCACTTGGTGGAGTACTGTGAAGGACCACTTCTAATTTCTGCTCCTGTCTCCAACCTGTACTTATCGAATTTCTCCACCAATCGCCAATAGGTATGTTGCACAAGAGAAGGTATAGGAAGTGCACGAATACCTTTTAAAACACCATTGATGCTTTCTGCCATGTTGGATGTCAGCATAGACCAACGACGCCCACCATTGTAGTTATCATGTGCTAAACTCCAATGAATCTGATGTTGATCCACCCAGTTATCACATGAAATATTTCTATCACTGGCCACCTTCTTAAATTGCTCAACTTGACGATCGAACTTCTCCAACCGTTTTTCTCCGGCTAACAAAATAAACAACCACACGGGTTAGATCAATTCATGACAAAATTACATGAAAATAAATAACAAAATTAAATGAAGAAGGCTTACCGACTCGAAATAGTTGCTTATACATAATTCTGCTTTTAGTCTTCCTTTGCAAATTGCTTGCATAGTGTCGCATGCACCACCTCCACTCCCAACCTCTTCCGATGTTATTCATGGCTTCATAGAGTCCTGCATGTCTATCTGAGATGATGCATACATCATTTCGATCAGTCAAACCTTGAACGTTCCTTATGAACCATGGCCAACTCTCAGTATTCTCACTCTCCACTATGGCAAATGCAATTGGAAAAATCTTCTTCCGACCATCAAATGAGCTCGCCATGAGTAGCACTCCTTTATACTTCCCAGTAAGAAATGTTCCATCAACAACCATGACGCCTGGACAATTCTTGAATCCATCTATACAAGGTCCATAAGCCCAAAATACTCGCTGAAATATCGAATGACCTGGTTGAGTCGAAGGAACTCTTACCCAATCAATCACCGATGTTGGCATTTTTCTCTTGACTACCCGCAAGAATGTTTGCAAAAAATGGTAGGATTCTTCCCAATTTCCATGCAACTTCTCCAATGCTCTTTGTTTCCCATACCAAGCCTTCTTGTAAGTAACTTGCATATTAAACTTATCTTTCAACTCGGCTTGCACAGTTAGAACACTTAGATTTGGTTGGGCACGTACCAAATGTTTGACGGCCTCAGATATCATGTCGACATCAAGATGGCGATGATCCGTTGGTTGAGTCGTACTGCTACAAGAATGCACCAACTCAGCCTTTCTCACAATCCATTCGCCTCCAACATCTCGACATCCAAACCGCACCATCCAAGGACAATTGTCATCCTTGTGCCTCAAGCATCTGACCTTCCAGATTGAAGGTGACGACTCCACCACGCCATATTGAAAGTTGCGTTGTAGTGCGTGGTGTTTAATCGCCATCTGTGCAACTTGTTTCGAGTGAAATATCTGCCCCTTGTAGAATTCTCCTTCAAAACTATCAACAATAGGCATTGGAATTACGCCATATGAATCAACAAGTGAGTATTCTTCGTCCTCTTCATTACCCTGCAAGTAAAAATATGGAGGATAATTAGGCTGCTCTCCTTCCCCCTCTTCCTCCTCCTCATCTTCCTCCTCTCCGTCATCACCGTCATCATAGTCATGATCGGATGGCACGCTCCATGTATCATCTTCTTCCTCTCCACCCTGATCCTCACTGAGCTCAACATGTATCTCAGCACCCAAACAATAAGGATTTTGTGCCATAAAATTCCAAAGCACATTCAAGCTATCATCATCCACAATAGACATCGCATAATGAAATAAAACACCATTCTGCCATTCTGGAAGACGGTAAGTGAAACCTGTGATCACATCACTATCTTGTACTGCTTCGTCTCTACGCCGTATTCTCGGAATTAGATTCTCACAAAGATAATGATATGTGACCCTGGATGGAATCGTCATCTGAAAACTACTACCACCAACGAATTTGACGCCCAAATTATCCTCTACTTTCTCCGATTTCCACCGAATGACTAGTTCAAATCTTCTAAAATCACTATAAAAAAACAAACTCACTAATTAAAACTAAACACAATCATAATAGCATTTGAATAATATAATTACAAAAATAAATGTGTCTCTTACCTATTAGCCATTTTTGCAGCAGCAACCAGAGCTCTCTCCTTTGTCTTGGACGATTTTTTTTGTGGTGTGAAACTGAAATGAAATTGGTTGTGGTTTATATAGGGGGTGGCCAAATAAGCTAGCGGCGGCACCTTAGTCTTGGGCGCCACCGCCTGGGATAATTTCCCCACCTACTCGCCTTGGTCTCAGGCGGTGCCACCTGAGTCTTGGGCGCCGCCGCTGTCAGCTTACATAAAACGACCCAAAAAGTCATCCATAGGGGCGGCGCCTGAGTCTCAGGTGGTCTCGCCATTTCTTTTCTCCAAAACACAATATCTGTGTCAATAGTTTTTAATCTGTCATATTGGTGGTAAATTAAAAAAAAATAATATTTGTGTCATTGTCTCTGGGCAATGAACTATGTCGACGTGCAACTAACCAACGTTAAAAATCAAATAGAAATATAAAAAATAAAACATAGGAGAAAAACTGGGTAATTAGCATAAATGGTAACAAACCTTTGCACTTAGTACAAAACGGTCACAAACCTTTAATTTGTAACAATACGGTAACAAAACTTTGAAATTGTATAAAATGGTCACCGCTATTTAATTTGTGACCGTTTTGTTTTAAGTGCAAAGGTTTGTTACCGAATCGTTACAAATTAAAAGTTTGTCATGTTTTGAGGTCGGGTAGTTTGTTCGTTAAGTATATGACACTAACCACTTGAACGACATATAAGATGTCAGGTCATGTGTTCATCGACATATTTGCTTTGCCGAATAAGAATGCCCTCAGTTGACCTTTCAATTTGGATACCAAGAAAGTAAGAAAGTAGACAGAGTTTTTTCAACTAAAAAGCAGTCTGGAACCCGTTTGTGAGCCATTGAATTCTTTCATTGTCATCCTTTATGACGATCATATCATTCACATACATTAACAAAACCACCATACAACTTTGAGCGAATTGTAACGGTGATTGATCGTTCAAACTTTTGAACTTAATTTGTACAAAACGGTCACCCAAAGTCTAATTTGCAACGACACGGTAATAAAAGTTTGAACTGGTATGAAAAATGGTCACACTGTTTAATTTGTGACCATTTTGTTCTAAGTAAAAATTTTTGTTATCAAATGATTACAAATTAAAGGTTTGTGACTGTTTTGTACTAAGTGCAAAGATTTGTGACCATTTATACTAATTACCAAAAAAACCTAGTATTTTGAGTTCCCTGTATCAAACAAAACCACCGCCGTCCTATGGCAAAAAAAAAAAAAAAAAAAACAAAACCACCGCCGTCCGTTTCAGTGCGATAATCGGAATGGCAGTGGGGAACCGTCGCGGGATGTCGACTCTACCTTCGGAGTTTCCACACGTCTCTCGGAGCAAGAGTCCTATGTTCTCTATTCGACTCCCCGGTGGAATTTCTACGGCAGGCCACGGTGGAGGACAAGAAACTGTTTCAACAGTGCTGCTGGGGCTCGTCCCGGCGGGCAGGAACTCTTCGCGTGGACGGAATGGTGATATTAGCTTTCTGGAAGAAACCCGAATCTGACGTTGGTGATTGTTATATTGGGATGCGGCGGCGTAAAACTATGCCGACTTCAGCGGAGATGAAGGGCTTGGGCCGTGTTTTCGTCTTCATTTGGCAGGTAACTGAAATTTTTGGAAAACAGTTCTTTCATGAGTTCATCCATTGTATGACGAATGATCCCATCACGATCTAGACTTAACACCAATCATCGGGCACCACTTAGAGCCCTTGACCTTTTCTTTCTGCATTTTAATATTCTTCAGCTTCTGATTGAGTTGAATAAATGGCACTTGTTAATCCATTCCTCAAATCCCAGCAACCCAGCTCTCCAAGACATGGTATTATTGATGGCTTGAACTTCTGATCGAGTTCAATCAATGGCAATTGTTAATTGTATAAAACCCAACAACCCTGTTAGGCTACGCATTGTATATTGCGACCCTTCACCAGCTGGCCATCCACATTTTAGTCTTTTGTCAAATTAATGGTAATCAAAGACATCTTAAACATAGCTGCTTCATCCAAATCCTATCTTCTTTGTGTCTTTCGATCCTGATCTTGATATCCGGAATTTGTTATGTTGCAACCGGTTTCAGGTGAGACCCTTCTCTTGATTCCTACCTTTTGAGCTAGGTTATTTTCTTCCTGCAATAATATGGTCCATGAATGTGAAAATAGTTAAGAAGTCCGCATGTGTCTTATCTTCTCAAGTCTTTTAATTGTGTTTTGATCATTAGGGAAGCATGATTTAGTTTGAATGTGAGTATACCGTTCCGATGAATCCGTACTTCATAGTATTTTTCATTGTTCCTCGAGGAATCCTATTAGTTTTTATGCTGACGCGTGAAAAACTTTGCTCTTGCATGTGTAATATTATTTGTTCCTTGACATCAGCATCAATGGTTGCTGGAAGTTCACTAGGAGCGTCATCATCATCACCAAAATCATGTCAACCTTACCATGTGTTTCTCAGCTTTAGAGGGTCCGACACTCGTAAAAACTTTACTGATCACCTTTACCAAGCTTTGACATGGGCGGGGATCCGCACATACAGGGACAACGATGAGATCGAGAGAGGAGATGATATTGTGCTGGCGATTAATAAGGCAATAGCAGAGTCCCGATTGTCATTGATTGTGTTTTCACCAAACTTTGCCTCTTCTAGTTATTGTCTTGATGAGGTTGTGAAGATTATGGAATGTAAAGAAAACAACGTGCACACGGTTGTTCCTATCTTCTATAATGTGTCACCATCGCAAGTCTCGGAAGAGTCAGGGACTTATGTTAAAGCATTAAGAAGACATGGAAATGTTGAGAGAGTGGACAAATGGTGGCAAGCCCTTAAAAAGATAACAGATCTTGGAGGCATGGTTTTGGGAGACAGGTATTTTTCTGTATTGATTAAGAAACACAAAGTTCTATCCTTAAGTCATGTGTCAGATGGTAATCCTATATTTTTTCTTCCATATTTTGTTCTTGTTTCAGGCATGAGGCAGGTTTTATTCAAGAAATTGTCAAAAAAGTCGATCGCAGATTGAAACGTATAAAGCGGCCTGTTCCGTCCTACGTAATTGGTATAGAATCTCATATTGAAGCCATTAACAAGTGGGTAGCATATGAGTCTAGTGATGTGGATGTTGCGATCATCTCTGGGGTTGGTGGAGTTGGGAAGACTATAATCGCTAACATAGTCTTTAATATGAACATTGAAACTTTTGATGTCTGGAGTTTTCTTCAGGATGTTGATGAAACCTCAAAACAGCAGGATGGGTTGGTTAATTTACAGAGGAGCCTGGTGTATGATATCTCCAAAGGAGCCCTCGTGGACTACAAAGGCATTGACCTTGAGCATGTTACATGCAACAAAAGAGCCCTTGTTGTGCTCGACAATGTTGATACCTGGGGTCAACTCTTGGGTATTCTAAGCAAGCCTCAATACCTCCACAAGGGGAGTAAAATAATCATTACAACCAGATGTAAAGAGTTGCTCAAGAAACCTTATGGAGGAGCTTGTAAGACGTTTTGGATCAATGGACTGGGTAAGGATCATGCACTCGAACTATTTAGTTGGCATGCCTTTGATAAACCCAATCCTGACGAGGGGTATGTAGGTTACTCTGAGCAAGTAGTGCAACACTGTTCTGGGCTTCCTCTGGCACTTGAATTGTTGGGCCTTTGTTTATCAGATAAGGATATGCAGTTGTGGGAAGTAGCAGCACAAGAACCAGAAACAATTGATGGTTCCACAAGGATCCGGAGGACGCTTCAAATAAGCTATGACTCTCTAGATGAGCGTGACAAAATCTTATTCCTATACATTGCTTGCTTCTACATTGGAAGGGAAAAGGATTCTGTTGTGAAAATGCTACAAAGTAAATTTGGTTATAGACCACTTGGCATTCAGGAGCTTATCAGTAGAAGCCTTATATCAATTGGTGGGTCTAACAGATTGACAATGCACCAATTGATTAGAGACATGGGGAGAGAAATCGTCCTCCTTAGATCGATTCAATCTATTGAAGATCCTGGAGAACAAAGTAGACTGTGGCGCTATAATGACGCAATCAGGGTATTGAAGAGAGATACTGTGAGAAATATCTCCTCCATTGCTTTTTCAGATTCATTTGGTAGTCAGTAGTCTCATTACCATTACCATGTTTTCCTCTTACCAATTGATTGCTATTGAGAGCAGGGAGAAATAGTGAGGAGCCTTATCCTTGACCCGCCACTAGCATATGAAGTGGAAGTGGAAGCCTTCGCAAAAATGAGAAAGCTGAAGCTACTTCATTTAAACAATGTAAATCTTCATGGAAACTATAAGGGTTTCCCACAGAGTTTGCTCTGGTTGTGCTGGGAAGGATTCCTTCTTCAATCTATGCCTGGTGAAGTTTCCTTGGAGGATTTGGTTGTTCTTGAGATGAGAAACAGCAAGATCAGAAATGTCCACGACAGTGCATGGGTATGATTGTTGTATCCTCCTTCCTCTCTGGTCCACTAAAAATGAATCATGACTTAATAGTTAGTTAGTTACTAAAATATCTATCTTCTAATATTTTTCCAGATTCTACCCAACTTAAAAGTGCTTGATCTCAGTCACTCATGCAATCTTATTGCAACTCCAGACCTTTCCCGTTTCCCAAAGCTTGAACGGTTGATACTCAGAGGTTGCACAAATTTGGTTGAGATACACAGTTCCATTGGAGGTTTGGAGCGGTTATCCTTTCTAGATGTGAGCTATTGCACCAGTCTCAGTAAGCTTCCACTGGGAAATGGTGATTTGATGTCCCTAAAGGAACTTCAAGTGTCAGGTTGCCCAGGACTGGTTGAACGGTACTCTCTAGATTCTGACAAAATGGAATTACCTGTGAGAAAAAGAATGAGGAGAACCTCTAGTTTGGTTTCTGGTTTGCCACATTTCTTGGTATCCATAAGTCTCTGCAGGTGCAATATGCATGCTTTCCCTGAAGATCTAAGTTCCTTGTCTTCACTCAAGTTCTTACACCTAAATGAGAACCCGCTTACTTGTCTTCCAGAGACAATCAAAAGCCTGAAAATGTTGTTAGCCCTTTCACTTTTCCGGTGTGACAAGCTCGAGTCACTTCCTGAGCTGCCTTCAAGTGTACAATCAGTGATGCTCTTTGGGTGTTCCTCCCTGAAAAGGATAACGAATCTGCCACATTTATACTCAGATACTGGCATCCAAGTATTCATTATTGCTATGTCTTGTGGTCAATTACTCGAAGTCAGAGGCATTTTCAAAGTGGAACCACTTCGAGACACCGAGTTTTATATTATGAGGGCTGGTTTACTTGGGATTTCACTACGTCTCACTGTGGAGCCATCTCCTAGCAGTGAAACGATTCTGTACAATCGTTTCACGTGGGGGAAGACGTCGTTACAGCAGCCACAGGTCATATTTCCTCATCCCACCTCTCAATTATTCATGTTTTTTTTAGTTTTTGTTTTGATGCATTACTGGCGGTTGATCTCAGATACTGTACGAATTCGGGATGTGGAGCATTTTCTTTCCAGCACAGTGCTGGGCACTTCCAAGTGCAGCGAGGGCTGAGTTCATCTCAGTTGATGTTCCACCGAAAGATGGCCACAACTTATTGGGCTTGAATCTTATCATTGCATACAGAAATGTATCACTTGTACCCTCAGGACTATCAATTACTGTGGAGATCAGTAATGAGACCAAGTCTCTGAAGTGGACTTACAAACCCATCGTTCTAGGAATCTGCGATGGACCCAACAATATCATGCTATGGCTAAGCCGTTGGACATTCAGGAATCAGGTTGAGACGGGAGATCGACTGAAGATCGGAGTCCGTGGAGACAGGGGTGTGGAGATACTGACCTCTGGTGTCGTGTTGGACTTGAAGAATGAACTAGTGGTTGAGGGAAGAGCCTCTTGTGCAGTCAGAGCTCTTTGTGATGTGGATATATCAGCCTATGAAGTTGGGCGAGGTACATATGAGCTGGACAATTCTCTGGACCGACAGCTACAGCTCCTTATTATGCAGGCTCACAATAACCCACACCGACCTGACCGGTCCGATTGGTTGGACCGCAGTCAACGCGAAGTTTTTGCTGATGTTAATGCTTGGATTGGGCAAGTTTCTTCGATGCTGAAGGCCCTCGAGGACGAGTCCTCGAATGACGGATCAACTAGTACAACACTATAGTGAATCCTACCTCTACAAGGATTTGGAGTTTTGGGAAAGCTTTGGTCTTCCCCTCTACCGTTTTGCTGGTACTTGGTTTACTTGTGTTGTCGTTTGGGGATACTGCTACTTACACAGGCCAGTTGCCCACATGACGTTTGGCTCAATTTACTTATTCCAAAGAGAAAGAAAATGATTGATAATGATGCCAGGTCTGGGTACTGATGCAGAAGGGGATCAAAAGACGGTTGTTAAGTTTGATCTGATGTGTGAATGCATGAATATGCTTATAGCGATGGATGTTATCATTATTTTTGCATGTTAAGCTCTTGGACTTGTGTAAGTGGGACGGCGCAAGGGAGAGAGAGACAAGCTTCCCTTGGACTCAAAGCATTATCATTACATGTAAAGCTTTTGGGGTGAGTCGTAATGAAAGGAATTACTTCCATATAACAGTTACATACTTCCATATATATGTGTGTTTAGGATTGATTGGCGCAATGTATTTTGTTGTCCAAATGTGATGTTTTTAGTTGTTTGCAGCCTATTTGTTGATCGAGTCATACAAGGTATCAATAAGTTAAGAATGGCTGTCTGTTCGGGCTGTGAATATATATATATATATGGCAAATGCTAGCGTACGCCCAGACGTACCCTAGCCTACCGTACGCCCGTTAAGTTTTGCTATTTAGACAATAAATTAACCGGAGTTTGGGGCACGATACTATACCCTAACCTCTAATGGGTGAACCCCAGTCTGCAATTTACTAACCCAAATAATAATATTCATTTAATCTTGAAATGAAAATCAACGGTTCTGATTTGTCGAAATTATTGCTGATTTTCATTTTAAGATTAAACGAATCTCATGATTTGGGTTAGAAAACTAGGGACTTGGGTTTATCCATTAGTGGTTAGGGTATAGTATCATGCCCAAAACTCCGGTTAATTCTTGATCTAAATAGCAAAACTCAAACGGGTGTACGGTAGTCTAACGTACGCCCGAGCGTACGCTAGCCTAAACCATATATATATATATATAGGTGGCTACTTCGGTGCACTCACTTTTTTGGGTGCACTCAGTGCACCCACTCTAAAAGTGTCCATAATACATCAAATTTTGAACTTTAATTAGTACTCTCAATCTAATATGATGATATGACATAGAATCATAACAAATCAATTTATTACCCTAACCCCTTAACCTTCAATTTTGAATCCCAACCCAAAATCCCAAATTGTAAACCTAAACCCTAACCCTAAGTCTCTAAATCCAAAATCCTTCAAATTAAAGTAAATTTTGAATGAATTTTTTTAAAATTCATGTGCTTCTTGTTCATAATATCATAAGCAACAATTGATACCGTTTTGACATGAATCGCATGATCAGAATGACAATTATGAGGCGGGTGCACTGAGTGCACCCGAAAAAGTGGGTGCACCGAATACGCCACCATATATATATATATATATATGGGAAAGGCTAGCATACGTCTGGGCGTACACTAGCATACCGTACGCCCCATTGAGTTTTGCTATTTAGACAAATAATTAATCGGAGTTTGGGATGATACTATACCCTAACCCCTAATGCGTGAATCCCAGTCCCCAATTCACTAACCCAAAGCATGAGATTCGTTTAATCTTAAAAATGAAAATCAACGATTCTGATTCGTCGAAATTTTCATTGATTTTAATTTTTAAGATTAAACGAATCTCATGCTTTGGGTTAGTGAATTGGGGATTGGGATTCACCCATTAGGGGGTTAGGGTATAGTATCATGCCCTAAACTCCAGTTAATTCATGATCTATATAGCAAAACTCAATTGGGCGTACGCCAGGCATACACTAGCCTCAACTATATATATATATATATATATATATATATATATATATATATATATATATATATGGGTCAGACTGGCGTATGTCAGGCATATACTATACGTCAGGTACTACTAGTGAGATATCTCTATCTAGACCATGAATTAAATCGAGTTTGAGGTATGATACTATACCCTAACCTCTAATGGATAAACCCCAGGCACCCATTTTCTAAACCCTAACCCAAAGTTTAATTAAATGAAAAACAAAAATTGACCGTTGAGATCGGCCGGAGCTCATCTAACTACATCTAACGGCTAGATCACCTGACGTATACTATACGCCTGACGTACACCAGTATTCACCATATATATATATATATATACTAGCTTTTACTCGGCTCGTTGGCCGATTAATTTGCTTTATAAAACTTTCATCTTGTCGTCATTGTGCTTTCTGGTTTTTGTCATGCCATGATAAAATATAAGAAAATCAAGAACGAACAACACGATTTGGGATATGAACCGCCGTTGTCGTATCCCTAGAAAATGGCAGTAAACACGGACTCACCTGCCAAACTGGTTTGGATTGAGATTTTTATTGGGTATCAGGGAACCATGTGATTATAAATTAGACTTGATCAAAACTGGCCAAAACTTGAAATTCAGCCTGTTTGACCGACTCATGCCAAATTCTAATTATTCTTTACTTTTAAACATTCTATTTGAAAATAAAAAATAGTGAAAGAAAAGAGATGACTACAATTCGCCATTTGCACATCACTTATTCGGGAATAAAACCATAGAAATTCAAAAGAAACTGAAACTGTTTAGGATCGTTTTAATGTTTAAAATAACCAAATAGATCTTTCTGTTTAGTTTTTTACTAACAAATATCAAACGATTCCCCATAAAATACACTATAATTTGATCATTATGATATCAAATAATTATATAATATATATTTGAAATGATAAAATTGGACTAATTGGGTTGGTCGAGGTTGAACCATTGAATAACTTTAAAATACATTATATTTTAGCCACTAAGATATAAAATAATAGCATAATATATATTATGCCAGAGAAAATAGCTTGTTTTAGAATGTCAAACCAATGATGTTTATTTGTTTTACTTGATTGCCAAATCCCGTGTAGGTCAGGCCCATTCAACTCTTTTATTTTACGGTTAGCGGTTAGCCCATTAGATACCATGCATTAGTTTATTGTTAAATTTTTTATTTTTAGCAATAAAAAGAAGTATTATTTTTGCCTTTAATTTTATCACCACAGAGAAATAAAAGGGCTTAAAGAAAAAAATTGACACTACCGGACCCGTTCAAATCCGCATGTGTACGGTAAGTTGGCCCGTTCCACAGAGGAAAGAGAAAAAAATTGACACCCCCTATTCTACCCTTCCTACAAACGCTCCTGGAGCAGGGAATTTGAAATTGGGGAAGAGTTTTTTCCTCCCAGCTATTATATATTTTTAATTTAAAAGGATACAACAAACGTACTTAGTGTGATTGATTATGATCCTTGCTTTTCTTTAAAATGGTCATGGTTCGAATCCTAGTACGTGTCTTTTTAATGAATAAAAAAAAGTAATTGTGAAAACCTAAATGTCCTTCCTACTTTCACTCTCGTTGCAGGAAATTTGATATATATATATATATAGTACCGACGTGGTGGTCGTATTTGTTTATGCTTTTTATTGAGGACTTAGATGAAAGGCGCAAACAGAAGATTGGGAAACAACTTAAGAGTGTGCACCCAAATGGTACTAGCTACCTTTTTTGTTCTTTTTCTCACTTGTCCTTCTTCCGTGGAGAATCAATGGGCTCTGTTCAAAACAAGTATGTTTTAAGACAAAGTCTCTCAACTCTCTCTTTGATCATACTTTTCGTTTAGCGTCGTAGAATTGTATCTATAATATGCAGATGGCAATCTCTAACGCACAATCTTTCCTCTGCGGGTTAGAGATTTATGTTGTTAACCAACAAATCATTTAGTCTAGTATCGATATAGGTTATTAATAAATGGTATCATATTATCACATTTAGTCACTCTCTCATTAGACCGGAGTTGGACGGAAACTAACGGGAGAGTGACTAAATATGACCTGTTTTAGTAATTTGAGTGACCAAATGTGCCATTTACCCATTTTTTCTCCAACTCCTAATATATGTTATTATTTACTAGGCAATCTATATATGTGTTAATATTCATTAAGCGTATTTTTTTTTGTTATGTCGAAATTGATCTTTTTGTTCGTATTTGGTTTTATTCATATATCATAATATGTGTTATTATTTATTAAGCTATCTTCTAATATGTGTTATTATTTATTAAGCAATCTCCATAAGTGTTAATATTCATTAGGCATATTTTGTTGTTGTTATGTCGAAATCGATATTTTTGTTCATATTTGGTTTTATTCATGTTTCATCATATGTGTTATTATTTACTAAGCTATCTTCTAATAGTAATATGTGTTCTTATTTACTAGGCAGTCTCCATATGTGTTAATATTTATTAGGCATATTTTATTGTTGTTATGTCGAAATTGATCTTTTTGTTAGTATTTGGTTTTATTCATTTCTCATAATATGTGTTATTGTTTAGCAAGCTATTTTCTAATATGTGTTATTGTTCATTAAGCGTATTTTGTTATTATGCTGAAATCAATCTCTTTGTTCGTATTTGGTTTTGCATACTTAATCACCTCTCCTTAGTCGAGGCCAAATAGAAAAACCAAAAATAAATCTTCTAATGTGAGTTACTAACTTACTATTCACTAAGTGTAATTTTTTTTGTTTTTGTCCTGAAATCGACCTCTTTGTCGGCATTTGAATTTGCATTCTTGCTCATCTCAGTCACTCGAGTTCAAATCGACCACTTTCTCAATCATTTATTTTCTTTTGTATATATTTTATTATTTTTTATTTTTTCCTAATTTCCTATCTCTATTTATTACTACCTTTGTTTCCTTTACGAAAATTTCATTTCTCATAATATGTGATTTTTTTTTGTTATGTGGTACTCAAATTGATCTATTTGTTCGTATTTGACTTCATATTTAGTCATACCGCTCGAGCTCAAGCTCAAATAGGAAAATTACGGAGAAATTTATAGGCGTAGAGCTCAATCTCAAACGCAGAAACTTCGTAAATACTCTAACTAATAATTGTTAAACACATGATATTCAGACATGAATACAAACTTCAAGCCCATATGAGCTTTGGTTTGAAGGAGCGTGTTAGTAAATTATATAAAATTCATGCTGAAACTATTATGCCAAGTTAAGTTATTGGAACCAATTGTTTGTGAGGTTGTTTTCATTGAATTAATCTTTTCAGAGGTCCAAATCTCTACAAGGTCTAAGCTAAACCGTTTAGCTCCATCATCTTATGGCGGCCGGTATAACAAACCAAATTAACATAAGAACTCAATCATTATGTTGGAGGCAAGCCTTATCATGAGAGACGTGCGCTAACTTTCTACCCAAAAAAAAAAGAGACGTGCGCTAACTTGCTCTCTAATTAAGCGGGAATATATATGACAAAAAAAAAAAAAAAACGGGAATATATACATATGGGAATCATGATTAACAACCACATATCATATGGCCCCTTTATTAGCGTAGCTTTGTTAGATTATATATCCTATTGTCTTAAGTGCTGTGCTTAACTGATCATATCATCAAGTTTGGTATCGTCCCACGAATGTTGCTCA